TGGTAAATAGCTCAGAAAAAAAGTACCCAGGATATACAGTAGAGAGCAGTGTTACAAGTTCGATTAACCAATAGGAGCAATCGCCATGGAACGGCGAATCACGGAGAAGTTCAATGCAGGTATCATCCATCTACAAATTTCATGTTCGTTGAAGGAAAAACAGATTTTTGTCTCTACGTGTTCAATTGAGACGATAACCATGAACTACGGTTTCCTTCCTTGGGTTAGACATGATCACTAATGCCTTGAACTGGAAATCACCGACCACAAACGTTTTTACAACCATTACATAAGACCTTCATAATGAAGGAAAACTAATCAACAGAAAACTTCATCTACGACCGTTCCGCCGAGTACGAAACCCTTCAGATTTCGCAGATATTCCGATCAGAATAGTAAGGTTGAATAGAAGTAGTGACATGTTACATCTTCAGGACAAACAAATTACTCCTTTAGACAAGTATACAATCAACCACTTCTACGATGTTCAATGGAATCGAGATGGATCGATGAACGATTTACTCTTTTGGAACTGTTGAATAGTACTAGTAACTATTCATAAAATGTTACGATGAATACACCAATTCACGGTGAAATAACTTCCCTTTGAGCTTTGAGTAAGACCAATCAATTCAGCAAACCGGATCTCTGTTCTCTAAGCGGTTGATTTCAGAAGTATTAGGAAAATACTAAGAACACCATTCCCTTTGAATTCTATAATTCATACGGTTACTCAGCCAGAAGCCGTTGAGCAAAAAGTGCCCTCACAAGATAACCACAACGAGGCTTCGTAAATGTCGCATGGTGACATACCTTCTCTCTATAGCACTTTTAAATACACCCAAAACGGAATTCCACCGTTAGTGCTGTCTGGCCATTTAAAGTTAGAAGGAGACACGTGGTGACAGGATATTCTTGCTAAACCGTTTTGTCGATGAAATTGTTATCTGCCCAAAAATCTCCAGCGAATACAACACGTAATTAACGGAACTAATAGAACAGGTAACCACGTATAATGTAGAACGAATGGATATGGATGAATCTTCTACTGTTGAGACCACAGGATACCCTACAGGTAAACAAGCGATGTAAGGAAATTGATGGAGAGAACGTACTTTTATTCACCTATTTCACACGAGCTGACATCACATTACGTACGGGTCCCAACATTTCCTTAATTCGACGCGTTTTTCGGCACCTATATTTTACAAACATCTTCTGATTTCGCATAGTGTTCTACTCCTAGATGGAAATCTTGTATTCTTCATGAATGTCAAAGAATTCTGACCTAGTTGAATCTCTCAGGAATCTTGAGATAGCCGTATAAGGACCTTCCCAGATCTTCGTCACAGGAATTCGCCACCATTTTTCGGATTGGAGAGAGAGAGAAGTGATCCCAGAAAAACATAGCAGCAATTTTCCGACCCCACACAGACGAAGTACTTGGATGGTTCTGCACGTGGTCGAAACACGGTCTTGTGCATATTGTTGAACAGCATTTGCACCAATATGTTAATCAAACCCATATAATGGTTCATAATACTTACTTGATACTTGAATGGCCCGTCCTCACTGATTGTGCGGCGGGTTCCAGCATAACCTCCACTTTTCGGAGATTTGCTGATTAAACCATTATGGTTCCCCGGAATCCCGAGGCTGGCCAAAGTCTGCCCCAGGTCTTCACGATAGGCAGCCGCAGCCCTTGTGGATTTCAGAGGGAGATTTGCCACCATGCGACTTTGATACCAGAACGGTGGTGGATCCTGGTATTGGTTTATTCTTAGCTAGGCTCCCTAATGGAAACTCCAGACTCCCTCTCAGCTTGGGAGACCCTGCCAGGGAGATGAATCCCCCGCAGTACATCGCATACCGACACCTAGGAATAGCTCCCAATCAGAATGAGGTGGTAAACCGTTGGCTGGAATGGTTCATAATAGAAAGCGATATTGATACATTTGTGACGATGTGCACAGATTTCAGTGCGCACTTGCAAGAAAATAGTTTACACCGTCAACTTCAAATATGTCCATCTTAGCGCGTACTGAACTTTATCAATTGAAATGACAATCATTACAATTGTATCTAGTACTTAGTTGGATACTTGGACGGCCGTCCTAACTGGTTCAGCGGGCACCAGCATATTCTCCATTTTTTGCAGTTTTGCTGGTTTGGGCATTGTGTTTCTCTGGATTGTCGGGGTCAGCCTAGCCAAAGTCTGCCCCAAGTCGTCGCCACCGAAGGATTAGAGGAAGATTTTCCACTATGCGACCAGTTTGTTAACTGGACGGTGGCAGATCGTAGCATCGGTTTACACTTAGCTGGGCTTCCTGATCGAAATGATGGACCCATTCCCAGCTTGGGAGACTCTGATGGAGAGATGAATCCCACCATTGTAGCAGCCCGACACCCACGAGCATCTCCTAGCCACGATGATGCGGTAAACATTGGTAGGATCGTAGCTAGTAACATGCGAAATTCCCTCTTCTCCGACGACGAAGCTAATATTTTCTAGAGGAGTCAAATCGTCCACTGATCGTTTTCCCGGAACCGAATTGCCGGATTCCGTCTAATAGAAAGCTATGAGTCCCTTCTATGCATCGTTAATGTTGGCAGTCACTGTGATTACGCTAAAAATTTTCGGAATAAAAAACCCTGTGATTGTTGAGACTCTCAGGCTCTAGGAAATTTAGATTTTTGATGTTAAAACAACATTTTGGAAAAATTAAACTGGAGAGTAAAATATGTAAGTCTGGCAAGCTCTCAGTTAGTGAAATGCTTTCGTTATTAAACAATCACCGGCAGTTGTCGAAAAATTAGCATTGTTGCTAAAGAAGAGTTGATGAGAACACCAATGTCAACTCACTTACTTGATAATTAAATGGTCCATCCTCACTGGTTGTGCGGACCTCAGCAAAATCTCCATTTTTCGGAAATTCGCTGATTAGTGGTTCTCTGGAATCCCGAAGTGAGCCGGGCCAAAGTCTGGCCCGGATCTTTACCACCACAGGCAGTCGCAGCCCTTGTCGATCAGAGTTAGATTTGCCGCCATGCGACTTTGATACCAGGACGGTGGTGGATCCCAATATTGGTTTACTCTTAGCTAGACTCGGTGATCGAAACGCTGGGCCAACTGTCAACCAACAAACCACTGTCAACTAATTATTACAACTAGTAATAAATAGAACTGCAAAGTTAGAGACAAAGTCCATATAAGAAACGTCGTCACCTTGAGTTTAAGAAAAGAATATTTCACTGCAGAATGATATGGCGCTAAAAATAGATGAAACTCTACAGATTAACAAATTTAACCTAGTAGAATCATAAAATGGCCTGATTTCCAATGAAGAAAACTAACACTGTTTGGGTTAGGTCCTAATATTTATCGTGCTGACATATAGATAGCTGGGGCTGACCACGAAAAAAACATTCACATACCAAAAGTCGCACACGTATGGACGGTATGATTCCCAGTGGCTTGTGTCACGTATAACTCATTTGAAAGGCAAGGAGGAAATAAAAGCATATCATCGCTCAACACAGAAGTCCTATGGAATGGGAAAGCTACTAGGAAAATTGGTCAATTCCAAACTGAACGTACTCGTAAGTAAATTCTGGTGCCGGTCGCCTTCAGAGATGATGGTCTCAAAAGCAGAAAGCGAATATTCTCTTTGATAAACCCGACACAGTATAAGTGAACAAGTCACCAGCATGTCGACTCTCATAAGCAAGACGCACAAGTAACAATATCAGGTAAAAGTAAATGCAGACTGGTCTCAACGTTAGTGTTACTGGACCTAACAGGAGTTGGTGTTAAAATCGCTCAATAGATAGTGATCGTTAAGGAATTGGTTCCTCACTTCTACACGCTATTATAACAAAAAAACGAGAACCTACGAAAACCTTTCTGGAGCTAAAAATTATGAAGGGGTATAGGTGAGCATATAACCGACACAGATAGTCATAGGCGAGTGCATAAACAACACAAATAGATAAGGGTATGACAGTAACAGTAATCTGAGGAAAGAACTACTACACTCACGGGCATGCTGGTCCTCACGGGTAGCTCTGGGAGAGGTTCCTCGTCGTAATCCAATTCGTAGATGTCTGAAAGTCTTAAAGTAAACTACACGCTACTTCAAACTATCGTCAAAGATCTAGATACTTGCTCAAACTGCTGACTTACATGAGGCTGATAAACAGGTTTTAAACTAGAAGATCTAGGGCTCTGGTGAAGGCGAAGACATGGAAACGTTAGCCGAATAAGGGCACTATAGCAGCCTCGTATAAGCTTGCCAAATAGAGTACATATTGAGTAGTCATAGGAAAGTTAAAGAAAAGTCGGTCTTTGAAATAAAAGGTCTAGACAGTTTACAACAGCACTATAACAACGTAAACACTGAATCTTGGCGAACCACAATAACCTTTTTACTAAGTCTCGATGCTGTAAAAGTAAAAATGGTAACAGCAAATCACTCTAGAGTGGGGAATTGACTGGAACAGTTATGCACTATATCAGGAAGATTAAAGAAGGACTTAAAGCTTGAAACGCTTGACTCTCTGTTCAGTCAGTATCGTAGCAGCACACCCTTCTAAGTACCGAACATTGAGCTCTAGGTACTTAACTAAGTCATTCGACACATCGTTGGTGAAAAGGCGCTGTATCTAGCAAGCAAACTACATAAAAAATATTATATAAAGTGGAAAATATGTTTTCGTTAAGTAACTGGATAAACAACGAACAAACCATTGGAAGCCATCAAATGACAGTCGCGAAGATAACTGTTGATTCGTTAGAAGCACAGGACACTGAAAACGATAAATACATGGATCAGAAGCAGAAAAAGACATGAAGAAATGCAGAAAAACAAGGACAAGCAAAAATTCCGGGTCTCAAAATTTTTTGTGGTTGTAACGTAGACCGAAGACGCAAATTTACGAACATTTAGGCGTTGTGAACCCGTACAATTTCCATGACGGCATTATTTCGTCTCTGGATTGTGATGCAATTTCGCGTACTGAACTTTCATTCTCTAAAAAATGGTTTTCAGATGGTATTCGTATTATTCTTCAGTACTGTAGGACTAGTCCTGTGGACAGTATTCTTAGCAACTGCTTATCTCTGCTATCTTGTGCGACATTCGAATCAGCGATCGAATTTCAACCGACGCCTGGAGAATATTTCTGTGTGTTGTGTGATGGGATCAGGCGGGCATACCATGGAAATGATTGAATTGTTGAAGACAATGGGACCGGATTATAATCGACGGTGTTACATTATTGCGGACACCGATCGTATCAGTAAAGATAAGGTACGGTCTCTTAACATCTGCTCTGTGCGTCGTTATTTTCGAACTACCACAATAATTCCTGATGTAAGGGTAAAGCTCTCAGCTTTGATCAATCCCTGAAGGGTGCGCCATGCATTCGACTACATTCGTAGAATCATAGAGGTGACTGAATGTATATCTGGCCTTTACAATGGTTCGCGGTGGCCTGCCGATGTTTCGAACCAGTGCTGCTAATCTCCCAGAAAAGCCTGGTACCAATTTGTCGACCCCAGAGAGATGGAAGGCTTGGTGGGCTTGGTGCGCGAGGATCGATTCCGTGTGTATTGCAGGACGCCTGTGACCACTGCCCCACACGTGCCCCTTTGGATTACGTAGAACATCTAAAACTGATGTACGGGACTGATGTTGTACACCTCTCCATCAGTGCTCTCCATACTGAAGGGATCAATTATTTTCAAGCAGTAAGGCATCAAAAATAGCAAGTCTATTCCATAGGGAGCGGGGAGGACTTAAACGGAAAAACCGTAGCCAGTTCGTTATGAGAGCTGTGAGACAAAATTGGTCGGATTCCTTCGGATGAGCCGAACTTACTAAGAAGAATAGGAGAGGTAGAGACATTACTGATTAGCGCTCGATTCACCAGATGTCCACCTCGGTTTAACACCTATCATCTGTCACACGTGTATCACCTGTAGTCCTGTTGATCGTCGATTGACTCGAGCGGGTGCCAGTAAATCTTCCATTTTTCCCTGTTGCGTACAAGAGTAGCCCAGTGAGTTCTGCTCGCTCTAGGGACTCGTCGAGCATCGTATCCTTCTTCAAGGCTCTTTGTGAAGAACTCTGACCGTCGGGTCGGTGGTCTTCTTGCAGTACGTTTGGCATCTCGAGGAATCCAGTCACTAACGGTTCCTGTCCATTGGTTGTCATTCATACGCATTACGTGTCCGGCCCACCTTATCTTCGACTGTTTGACGTACAGAACGGCATCTTTGATTTTTGATTGTCGGAGATTCGGATCCCATCCCTTACTTGTGTGGAACGGGATACTCCTAAATAAAGAGTAAGAAAGTAAATAGAGAAAATGACCTTTAAGCCTTTCTACATGAACAGCTGTGAGTTCTCGAATTATGAGCTCGAAATAAGAATATTCCCTGGATTTCCATCTTGCTACATAGAAGGGGATGAAGCTCTTGGCGTTGATCAATCCCTTAAGGATGCGCTATGCATTCCACTGCATTAAACATCGTTGAAGGTGATTGAATGCATGTCTGGCTTTTACAATGACTCGCAGTGGCCCGCCAGTGTATCGAGTCCGTGCTGCCAACCCCGGAGGGATGGACGGCTTGTTGGGCCTTGGATGCGGGAATCGATTTCACGGGTGTGTTGCAAGGCGCCTCCAACCACTGCACCACACGCGCCCTAATCTTTTCTAGAAAAGATTTTTTTCGTAAGAAGTTGATCAATAAGAGGCAGCTCTAGATAACTTCTCGGATTTAAAAGAGATGTATTTTTTAATAACTCGAAAGACCGACTTTTTATAAGCCTCGGCATGATAGTTGATATATTTATTTATGTGATCTTATAAACTGATCTTCTTAAGCTGACGCGAGGTTGGTACAGATCTTCGTTGTCGTTGTCGTTGTTTTTGATGTTACTGATCGATGGCTAAGGTTTCGACGACTTCGCCTTCCTCAGAGCCTGGACGTACTTTATGTTAGAATACTTTTTACTATTCGGTGGAAAAGAAGGTTAAAGTATTAATGAAGATCAAACTTTCAAATAGACGCCATATTGAACAGAAAGGCCACTCACCGTGATGTTAAGTGCGGGACTGGCCCACACGTAGTTCACGTGGAGTCGCGAGCAAGACACACCTCGGGGTCAAATTGTCATTTTGAAATAGGGCGCCAGGTCACGACTAGAATGTAGGTTTTTTAACTAACACGAAACTAAAACTACTAAAACGACTAAACTAAAACTACCGAGAACTGGCTTCCATTCTTAAACATCCAAATAAAGCTCTCAGTAAATGGCTATGTAACAAAATGGTATCGCAAGCCAAGTAGTAAATACATTCTAGTTCACTGGCTCTCCTCTCATCCTTCACACATGAAAAAAGCACTTATCAAAAATATGTATCGTACGGCTAAAAATGTGTGCACAGGAGAAGAGGAAAGGAAGGAATCGCAAAACCTGGCACGAAAAATTACCATTTCCAATGGCTACGAAGGAGAAGCCACTCGGGTTAGAGGAGAACGTTGGGTAGTTTTCCAAAATAATATTTCAGACGACAGTAGGATCTCCTTTAAGCTGCCCTTCATATCAAATGAAGTAAGTCACGCCATTAAAAAGTGCTTAAGAAAAAGTGGTCTTGAAAATATTGTAACGGTTGTTGACATCCCACCCAATACCCTACGCCGCCAGTTAGTTCGAAACCGCCTCTATGATCGTTTGTGCAGCTCAGAAAACTGTATGATCTGTCCTAACGGGAGAGACGGGGATTGCATGAGTTTAGGTATAATATACTTGATCTCATGTAATGCATGCGGCGAGGAATATATCGGGGAGACGGGTAGACCACTTTGTGTCCGCATAAAAGAACATCAAGATGGAAAAGCTAAAATCCGTTTAAACACCCCTCTAGGTACGCATAGGGCACAAAAGCACAACGGCGATGATTTTGAAGTGAATGTGCAAATCCTAGCGCAGGAAACAAAAACATCAACGCGCAAAACTCTTAAGGCGTTTTGGATAAATTTCAAAAATCCAAAGATGAACCGGAAGGACGAATACCTCACTATCACGCGTGACCTGGCGCCCTATTTCAAAATGACAATTTGACCCCGGGGTGTGTCTTGCTCGCGACTCCATGTGAACTACGTGTGGGCCACTCCCGCACGTAACATCACGGTGAGTGGCCTTTCTGTTCAATATGGCGTCTATTTGAAAGTTTGATCTTCATTAATACTTTAACCTTCTTTTCCACCGAATAATAAAAAGTATTCTNCATGTAATGCATGCGGCGAGGAATATATCGGGGAGACGGGTAGACCACTTTGTGTCCGCATAAAAGAACATCAAGATGGAAAAGCTAAAATCCGTTTAAACACCCCTCTAGGTACGCATAGGGCACAAAAGCACAACGGCGATGATTTTGAAGTGAATGTGCAAATCCTAGCGCAGGAAACAAAAACATCAACGCGCAAAACTCTTAAGGCGTTTTGGATAAATTTCAAAAATCCAAAGATGAACCGGAAGGACGAATACCTCACTATCACGCGTGACCTGGCGCCCTATTTCAAAATGACAATTTGACCCCGGGGTGTGTCTTGCTCGCGACTCCATGTGAACTACGTGTGGGCCACTCCCGCACGTAACATCACGGTGAGTGGCCTTTCTGTTCAATATGGCGTCTATTTGAAAGTTTGATCTTCATTAATACTTTAACCTTCTTTTCCACCGAATAATAAAAAGTATTCTAACATAAAGTACGTCCAGGCTCTGAGGAAGGCGAAGTCGTCGAAACCTTAGCCATCGATCAGTAACATCAAAAACAACGACAACGACAACGAAGATCTGTACCAACCTCGCGTCAGCTTAAGAAGATCAGTTTATGAGACGTATTTTGTTCTTAGGGTAAAGGATGGGATCGTGAGAACTGGATAACGAACAGTAATTGGAATAAGGAGCGTGATTTTATGATTCAGAACCTCCTATACCGAGGACCACCCAGAATTCTCGCTGGGTGTATGTCAGAATTAAACTCTATTCTTGTGGAAAACTTGTCTTATGATAAGAGGACAAAGCTCTCGGCGCTGATCATTCCCTAAAGGATGGGCCATGCACTCGACTTCATTAAGCATCATTTTGAGGTGATTGAATGCATATCTGGTCTTTACAATGACTCGCCGTGGCCTGCCGTTGTATCGAGCCAGTTCTGCTATCCTCCCAGACAACTTTGTATCAATTTGACGACCGCGGAGAGATGGAGAGCTTAGTTGGTCATGGGCGCGGGATCGATCCAATATGTATTGCAGGGAGCCTTCGACCACTGCGCTATACGCGCACTTTTTGAATAGCACACTTGAATTTGGTCTCTTTTTTGCAAAGAGATTGCAGGTTATCAATAAAAAAATCTTCGTCATGTTTTCCTTTCTGGCAGTGTTTGCTTAGTTCTTAACGTTTTCATACAAGTACATTAAAGTGTTTAGGTAATCGAATTCGAAAGTCTTCGTGGGAGCGGTAGTTATGAAATATGTTTTATACCGAGAAGTCGTGAAGTTGGACAAGGCTTCTTGACAGCTATACCGAAGACGTTGTATTCATTTATTTTCGCTCTTAAAACGGTTTGGAAAACTAGGTACAGTGAATTGTAATTTAGAAGTAGTTGTCTTGTTGTCTTTCACTCCAAATCTCATTTTTGATGTTCGATTCAGACCTACTTGAATAGCTATTTACTTGAATACATAAATGGCCCCTCTTCACCGGTTTGCGGGCTCAGCACAGTTTCCACGTTTTTTTTCGGAGTTTTACTGGTTTAGCCATTGTGATTCTCTGGAGTCTCGAGGTCAGCCTAGTCAAAGTCTGCCTCAGGTCGTCACCAGTCCGGGCAGTCACTGCTCTTGTGAATTAGAGATTTGCCACCATGCCACTAATTTGGTACAGGACGGCAATGGATCCTGGTATTGGTTTGCTCTTAGCTGAGTTCTGTGGTGGAAACATCGAACTCTTTCTTCGCTTGGGAGACCGTGCTGGGGAGATGAATTCCTCCGCTGTACATCGCAAGCCCACACTCAGGAATACCTCCTAGCCACGATGAGGCGATAAACCGTTGGGCGAGTACTTGAATAAATTAAATTGAGTGGTTCTTCTTCACAGAACGCAAAGAATCGTGTAGACGCTAGCAGAGTTTGTATATGGATGGTAATTTGCTGGTTGTGCGACGTGTTCTTTTACAGAGTTTTGAAAACTCATTAGGAAACTTACCTGCTGGGGTTCTCCTAGCTGCTCAACACTTACGCGTTGGTGACCATTTTGTTGCCATGGTCGTAGTGATTCCCGCGATGGTTTTCTTTTGATAGACTTCCGAATGAAATTACCGAGCTCTTTAGCTTGGGAAACCTTGCTGGAGATTGGAACCCAGTTAAATATTTCGATAGTTCGACGGCCAAGAACACTTCCTATGTGGTACAACAAATGGTTTTCATTGATCAGATCGTTAAAGCAATCAGATGGCTTCTTAGTTTTTTTCTTTGATGCTCATGTACGTTTCAGGCCAGATCTTGTTATAACGAATGGTCCTGGTAGCTGTATTCCTGTAGTGTTTGCTGCCGCATTTTTCGATATGATTCGTTTACGCGACATAGTTATTATCTATGAGGAGTCCATTTGTCGGGTTGAAAGCTTGTCCCTATCCGGTTGGTCTTACTTTTTTTGATTTCAATATATCTATCATATAAAGACCGTCATCCATTTAGTCTACTGAGAGTACTTTTTTCTCTATATGGTCAAATTATTGATGATATGAAAGTGTGTGGTTAACAATGAGACTTTAAATGTGTAAAGTTAAGGTTCGGTCTCATTGCCATAAAGTTTGCATGTGGACCATGAAATTTTACAAGAATGTCTGGCTCTAAGAAACTGGTAGTTTTTTCCCAGTAGCGTTAAGCTCAAAAATCTCTCGAATTCTAATGGGCTGAGTTGACCACTACTCAACGTAGAAGGAAATATTAGGATTAAGATGTCATGATGTGACTATGTTCTCAAGGCATTAAACAGTGTAACCCATAAAAGCATAAGGCTTTATTTTAAAAGACGAGGTTATTTTTTGAAGAGACAAGACGAGGATTGCTTTCGGATAACTTAGTACCGTGTCTGTTGTGGTACCATGTCATTAGGGTTTACCCCTGGTTGTATTCACATTATGTAACACCTAAGAAAGGTATGCTCAGATAGGAATATTCTACATCGTTGTTGTTTTGTTTAGGGTCTATTATTTATTTTCTTGGACTGGCTGATGGTGTTATTGTCCAGTGGAAACAGCTAAAGGAAAAATATCCAAGGAGCTTTCTAATTAGCGATTTACAATAAGTGCCGTGAGGTTTTACTATGTGTACTAACTTTTGTAGCAGTGTAAGTAGTGTTTTGCTATGCTCCTTTCCTGTCATATTTTTCTGTTCTATATCTAGTACATTCTTCGTTATTGTTGGATGCTGTCACCCTGTATTGTATATTAAGGTATATCTTATTGCCCAGGTGTTTGTACTTTTTGTCTGTGATTGAGTATTTTTGAACACTAAATTATGTAAGGATTCCTTGACCCGGAATGTCTTTGAAGTTTGATTACCATGTTCATAATCAGGAAATCGTTGACTTATATGCTTACATATTTATGGTTTTGCTTTCGTTGTCCATCTTTCTTGGAAAACTTCAGTTGTTCACCATATTCATTCAGTGGTTGTATCATCTGCTTCATCCCTCGTTGACTATTAAGTTACTGGGCTACAAGTAGAGTCTCCATTCGTTCTAATCATCGGCCAAAGCTGTCGAACTGTCCCAATTGCGAGAGTTGAACGATGTGTATCAACATTTCTTGAAGCGCGTTATTTCTATTGCTTTCGCTAAAAGAGTACCCACGGGTGACTTTCAGGTTGTACCGATGTACCTGGGCGTAGTAGCTTATGATCCTTAGGGTAGTCCATTTGTAGACGTAGAAGTGAACCGCTTCTCATATATTCCTCGATTACATGTTTGCAGCAGGTTCTTACAGAGGCGACGTGCTGCCTACAAACTCGTAAGTGGTGTAACCACTACACAAATATAAGTGGGTATGCTCACGTGTGTGTAGAAGGCATATGTTAAGTCCGTACAGCAAAAAGAAGGAGTCCATTCATCGTAACCACCTCTGTCTTGCGACATGTACGTGTTCACCTCTGTGCTATATTTAATTCCCTAGAAACGACCCAGGGATGAGAGCCCAGAATTTAGTCAGCTCGAAATTTCTGACGTAGTGGAGGTCTGTATAAATTCCTTTTCTAATCTGTACAAATGCATTGTGCGACGTGTATAAATTTGAAGAAAGAAGAACGCGCTTCAAGAAGAAAGAAAGACTTAATTAAATTTGAAGGTTAAAAACTTTTTAAAGAGGGAAAGGAAGGAAGGAAGAGGAGTTCTCAAGTGTTTTCAACTTATATTAAGTATTTTTTCTGATATTGTGTTTGCATAATATCCTGTAAGATAGGGAAATAAAACGATTAAGGGTTCGGCGTTGATCAGAACCTCAGGGATGCGCTATGTATTGGAACCTATGTATTGGAAATCTTAGAATTGGTTGGATCTACTTGTGGATTGTACTATGACTTGTAAGAGCACAGTGATGTCTCAAATCAGTGTTTTTATCCTCTCAAACAAGTTGCACGGATTTCCCAACTAGGGAGAAATGGCAGACCAGAGCGCGATGTCGAACCAGTGACCGTTTAACTAACTAGGCTCATCTAGCCACAGAAGTAATCCTAAATATTGTTTGTTACTTGCTGTTCTGTTCTCCCATTTACGCTTTGACACCAGGTTTCCTTATGGACCGTCTTCACGAATTGTTCTGAGAGTACCTCAGTCTCCATTTATTTCGTTTCACGGAAATCTTTGCCATGGTTGGATGCCTGTTTTGAACTTGCAAATCTTACCTAGATGTGATTAGTAGTGGTAGACGTGAGCCACAAATGTTCTTTGTGGAGATGGGTCTCATAAAGGATGCTTGCATTCTGCTGCGGTCCGTGGTGCCGTTTTTCTCATCCGGTTGGAGTAGAATTGTTTTCAATAATTCACTGTTTCCTCAATCAGCAAACTCAAGATTGTTATTACAGTATTTGTTCATTCACAATAGCAGACATTTCGGTCGGTTTACCTCCTGCTCATCCTGGAAGGGTCAAACTGACACAGAATCCACTCAGTTAAACAAGTCAAACACTTAGCCTCAGCAGATGTTAGTGCACAAGTTTTCATTCGCGTAGTAAACTGCCTGTCTTATTCACTCACCGTTCTGTTCTTTATAATTCTTCCAGTTATTGTTGGGACCAGCCGCACTGAGTCTTACATGGGTGTGGAATGTGCCTGACTCAGCCAAAGAAATCAGCCTGTTGTATGGCGCGAGGTCAAGCGTAAACGCAAGGTATTTCTCCTTGCGATTTATTTCTGGATTTTTGGAATTTATGTGGAACAATTCAAGAGTTCTACGCGTTGATGTTTTAGACTAAAGTCTTCCCCGGTATGTCTCTGTGTCCAACGCGGCTAGTTGAGTGCTTGGTCTAACTTTAAGTTTCCCAACTAAGTGGTCTTTTATACGGACGCAGAGTGGTCTAACCGTCTTGCCAACATATTCGTCTCTATACGCTTTACAGGAGATTAATTACAATGGACCCGAACTCATACAATCACTATCTCCGCCGTTATGACAAATTATGTTATGGTCCATTTCGTATAGAACGTCATACAAACGAACAACGTTACGAACTAGCTGGCATTTTAGAGTGCTTGGTATATTTCACTCACTGCTACTGATTTCTCTAAACCGGGCCTTTTTAGACAACGTTCAGTATCCGTAGTTATTTCGTTGAGGATGAAGGGTAGGACAAACGAGACCTTATCTTCCTCACCTTAATTAGCAGCTATTGAAATAGTACGATAGTACGGAAAGCCCTCGGACGCGAGCTAGTTAGTAACCGTTTGTATGACCGTCGATGCGAAACACACAATTGCATAATTTGCCCCAACGGTATAGTGGTGATTACCTGAGTTTGGGTACGGTTTATCTTTTTTTTCACATGGTCCGCCCTCACATTTCGTGTACAGCTCATTTCTTATATTCGATCCTTTTTTCTCGCATTCAGCACCCATATTGGTCCTCGAGCATTTCGCATGTGGTTTTGGCTGCTGTTTGAGAATTTCGTCTTCCTTGTAAGTCTTGTAGGTTCTTAGTCGAGTCGATTCTCCTTGCAATCTTGACGATAGCCTGGTTAGTGCGTTCCCACATGGATTGGAGCAGAGCACTGGAGAGAGAGCTCTACTCCTGCACATCCTCCATCTACAAATTATTTGGTGGAAGAAAACTCTACTCGCGGAACCCGTGATCACATTTTTGGGATGTTCTTTTGACATTTCTTTGTGTATTTGCCATTGTAAGTTCTTACGCAAGTATAATCTTTAACTATCATTTATTACCAGTCGTGTTAGACGTATTACTTACTTACTTGGATACTTAGACGGTCCGTCTTCACGAGCTGTGTGGACCCCAGCACATATGCCATTCGTTCCTTTCTCTCACAATCGTAGTCCATGGTGGTGGTCTTGTTGAAGCATGGTAACGAGTGCGAGTTCCATACCTTGATCTGTAAAACTACAGCTGCGGATACAGCTGATCAACTTTGCTTACGAACACTTCCGTCCAACGTGTAGGTGGTCGTCCAAGGGGACGTTTGCATTCTGTTGGAGTCCACTCTACTGTTCTTTTCGTCCATCTATCGTCTGTTCTTCTCATTATGTAACCGGCCCATCTATGCCGTCGATGTATATTCTCCTGGATCTCGAAAATGGGACAGATTTCGAAGGTCAGAGCTTCGCATTCCGGCTAGATATTGAGAGTGTCAGTTATATTTCGGAAGGCTTCGGTCAAACGCTCTGAGAGTAGTTCGAAGCATTCTTGACGTAGTTGAAGTATCAACCCATTAAACGTTAGACGCATTACACTCAGAAATGTTATTAATTTTTCCTCTTCATGAGGTAAAGATTCTTGATAGTAAAAGTGATGCATAAAAAAACTATAAAGCTGTCGGCGTTGATCCATCCCTGAGGATGCGCCATTCAACATTATTACGCATCCTCTAGAGGTAAGTGAATGCATACCTGGTCCTTACAATGACTTGTGGTAGCCTACCGATGTGTCGAGCCAGTGCCACCATCCTCCCACACAAGCTTGGTACCAATTTGCTGACCCCGAAAAGATGGAAGGCTTGGTGGGCCATGGACGCGAGGATCGATTCAACGTGTGCGTTGTAGGGCGTCATTGCACGCGCGCTGAAAAGTGATCCGTATTGTGCATAATTCTGAAGTGATTTTAGGAGGAGTTCATAGTCTTCAGTATGCTCTTCTTCTTTCCTGATCGTCATTAACGGAAAGGATTCCGTTCAAAATATTCCTAACTTGTTGTTTCCATTTGGGGCGTTGACGAGAGCACTTTTCCACTTTGTGGATCAATCGTATCTTCGCGTAAAGGGGACAGTGATCAGATCCAATACAAGATGATACTGCAGTGGTATCATAGTCACATCATCAAATTTTGCCAACTAGCTTTCCCTGTGGCAATTATTCATTTCGAAAAATGACTTTCCAAAGATGAGATTTGCTGTCGGTTAGTACATATACCGTTTCCATTCTGATTTTGGT